TTCGCGTTGCACTTTCAATCGACAATAAACCTCCGATTCGTTGTTTAAAACCGCGTCGGGTATAGGATTTTATTTCTTGTGCATCGTGTCAATATACCACCGTTACCGGAAACGGTTTTGATCGTTTATTCCGGATAACTCCTTATCACTGTATACGTAGCTACGGGCATGCGAACGGTGTAAAGCGGCCGGTAATTCTCAAGCCGGGCGACCGCCCGCGATAAAACGTCGGCGATCCGGTCCGCGCTGCGAAACGACGAGCGAATAGTCTTGAATAATACCTCGATAATCGGCTGTTCGTTATCATACGGGCGTTCGAATAGGAAACCGTACCTGTATCGTCTCTGGATAACGGGGGGGGGGGGAACGGAGGCTGTATCAATCCCGTTATACCGTCCACCCACAGTGCGTCGAGCGAAGGCCGCGAAAAACAGTGGCCGACTCGTTGCCGCGGTAACCTGCAGCGGCAGCCGTATCGTATACGGTTGTATTGCGGTAGCCAATTTCCACCGCGATGACCCGATGATCGTTAACGATTTCGCACCGATGTAACAGTATAAACGAATCGCGGTATAAATAGGTGGACACGGGTAAGGTCCCCGCGAGCGTCTGCAATTAAACGGCGGATCGAAACGGTCTTCGCTTCTCGGGTTGAACGCTTACGGTTTCGCGTTCACATCGGACCCCGTCCGCCCGGCGTTCGCGAAGCTCGGCGGCCCCGACGCGGTCCAGGTGTGGACGCGCCTTAATAATGTTAATAACTCGACCGTCGACGGTCGTCGCCGCCCGCTTGATTTATCGTGCGTACTGCACGGCAACATAACGGTACACCGGAGCGCCGCCGCCGTCGCCGTGCGAAAGCGGTGTAATTCGAATCGAAGGGAAAGTGTTTTTATTCTCGGGCGGAAAAAGTGAAAATTTTCGGAATAGAAACGATTCGGAATTCGTGCAGCGCCGCCGCCGTCGTCGCACGGTCGAGAGGGAAAATAATAAAACCGCGCGCACGCGCACCGCCGGTAACCGCGTCGGGTCATGATGTACATAGCTGGGCGGTAAACTGCGCGGGGGTATACCTGAGCGCGTTTGGTAAAAATAATTATTGTCATTACCGCGTAGTTTCGCACGCCGATCTAATAATATATAGTAATAATAATATTATCATCATTATTGTCGTTTGGTACTATTATTATTATGACGTTTGCGCGCGCGTGCGCGCGTGCGCGTGTCAATGACCGATGGGCACATCAGATTTCCGATTCGTACACACGTATAATATTGTAGTGTACGAACATTACGCGTATTATATTATTATGCATATGCATGTGTGTGCGTGTGTGTGTGTGTGTGTGGTAAATTGCGGTCGGTTATTATAATCGACGTCGGCGCGGCGCCGCCACCGACGACCTTTCTCTACACCAAAATGTTTACCTACGAGTTTTTCACGGCCGGCCGTATACAGACACGCGCGCGCACGCGGACCGTATAAATCATTCTACACTACTTGTCACGTACCCGGGAATAATAATAGTAATGCTATTATATGAATCGGCTAAGCGTGGGGAGTGGTGTAGTGATACCGTAGTTTTTATCGCGAAAATGCAAAAATTATCGTTTCGTCGCGTCCAAAAAGAATATCGGCCGTCACGGGAGCATTGACTGACGCTCTCTGCAGCACCGGCCGCGTTTAAAACACCCGACTATTGCGGCCAGGTGTTCGTCGGATATTACTTTGATATTATACCGAACGGGGCGTGAGAATTGTTTAACGTGTACTAATTGCGACGAAAAAATGCTTGTATAAAATGTTAAAAAAAAAAAAAATGTATGTTTTATCGTGTAAAGATAAGAATACTGACGGCAGATTTAATATTTTTGAAATTATTTACCAACATTGAATGTTATCATCGTGTTTGTTATTTTTCAAATGTAATTACATAATTATCAATTTAAATACAGTTACAATTAACGGCTTCAGTAGTTCGGGATGTGGACGAGCGGTCTAACGTATTAGGAATGGCCTGGGTCGTTCCGCGTTACGTGCGAGATTTGCAGAACAGTCTTGAAGGGAGGAGGGGAGTGAAAAGGTCAGTCACCTTCCTACACAATGTGGTTTTTTAAACAATTTAAATGAAATAATTGACAATTTAATTCGTATTTTCGAATAAACAGATTTGGTATTTCGGTATCATCATCAAAGATAAAATATAATCAATTATTGGTTTATCAGTATTAACAATTAACACAATTCTACAATTAACTCGAGATGTTTTCAAGTAATTTAAAACTATATACAAAGACTTAGTTCAAAGTTTAAAACTTTATTTTTCGCTCCCTCCCCTACCTCTATCTATACAGATTGGTTTAGGGACACTCTTGAATTTTCGTGAACACGCTAAAAGTGGACGTACAGTTTTTATATTTTTGATACCTTTTTGACGATATCTGCTGGCTGCTGCTGGTACCATTTTTAATCTATAGCTTCGAATTAATCGAAAAAAAATCAATCGTTGTTATATTATATTATTATACAAGTTGTATATTTTTTAAAAAACAAACCATAGCACGTGCAGGTTATGGGTGCGTTTTATTATATAAGTAATAATTATTTATCAAATTTTATCACGAGTTCCTTTGTACGGACGTTTTATCTGAAATGAACTAAAAAAACAGGAAACTGTGCCTGAATGACAATATTACATGACAGAACTTTTTTTTTATTTCTAAAACCTCGATATATTTGTACACCGGTTTACCCTTTGAATATTGCCGTAAGTTTTATAGTAAATATTTCACGATATTTCCTGTAGAGTCCTCATAGCACGATTATATAAATCTATATAATGTCACGTCGCTTTTACGCATTTTCGCCCGATTTTAACACTTAAACGTTGTCGGAACGAAAACGAGCGACGGTGTGACACTTCTATAGCTATTTATAAAATAATTGAGCAAGTAATACTGTCGTGGTATTATACTTAACATATCTACCCGATTGAAGTCAAGAAGGTTACATTGATTTTTAACATTTTTAACTTTTTATAACACATTTTTTCTTTTCATATGTGTTAATGCGTATAATAACCGAAATCCAGGTTTTAAAAGTAAATAAAAAATATCGCCGTTCTAACAACCCTCCCTGCGAAGCACCGGGGGTATTATTCACTACATATTATAGTCTTCTCTGCCATATCACAGAAATACCCAGTACATTATGATGTATGTGTGCGTGCGAAATATACATCACACATATTTCCCGGTGTACGAACAACAAAATCAGACAAAATTTCGGCAAGAACAGCTTTCGTCGATTCTGAACCGTATATATTACTCGTATATATATATATATATATATATACCTAATTAGAATTCCGAGTATCGTTGTCAGGGAATAGATGGCAATCCACCCCCGTCCGTTCCATCCTGTGTTTATCCTCTTAAGCTATGCGAGGAGGTTAAGTCATCCGTGTATTACAATACACGCTATATATAATAATATGTTTCCGGTAATTACTCGTTACTGTTCGTCTGTTCATAACGCTCACTAACTATAAACTATTAATAATATACGAGTATAACATGTATAGGTATACAGATTAAGATGATTTTTCGATATTCGATGTTATATGGGACACGTAGCTAATACTTAGCAGATCTTAAAATTTGATTGCATATAGCTGAAATTTAAATAAATCGTATTATTAAAATTGAAAATCTTTAAAATTAGTCATTTCTTTCGTGTTTATTGTCTATAATACTACAAAAAAGGTCTTTTGACGTTTTCTGATTGGAGCAAAATATCTGGTAGAAAAGCTGTACACATACACAAAACAACAAATCGCACACATCATAATATCACAGCGCCCATCGCTGTGTTCAGAATTTATTACAAATTTCTCGAAATGCTTATTAAACAACATCATATCATAAAAAATAAACGACCATTAAAATATTGTCGTTTTTTTTTTTTCGGGGAAAGTTGCCGTATTGTTCGACTCTTGGGACAAATAAACCGTGGATAAACAATGATAAAACAACAGTCGGTATGTGCATATTAAGGGGATATGCAAGCTCCCTCGAAAATGTAAAAACTAACTCTTTTTAGATTCGGAACGTAGCGAGGAATGTATTGGTTTTACATTTATGTTTATTTGTTTTTTTAATATGTAAACAACTTTTCTACCAGAAATCTTGCTCCGATTTTTAAGCGTAGTGATTTTTCTGAAAGAAATTTTATTTTAAGAATGCCACTTTTGAATTTTCCAAGCGGTTTTTATAATAATTGGGAAAAACGGGAAAATGTTTGTACACGAACAAAAAAAAAATTCTTACCGAAACGTTTTTCGTTAGCAACGGTCAATCGTTGCGTACAGATATAAATTAAATTCTCATCCATGTTATATCCAGCTTTGTCTTCCCAACTTCTTACCTATTAACTTAGTAGCCTACCCATCGTACGAAGTATGTCCGTCTTTTTTTTTCTCGTGGATATAATTCGTAAATACCGCGGATAAAACGGCGCCTTCGAATTAAAAATTGAACCTACGTATACCTAATGTTATTCTAATCAAGGGAAACAAATTTCCCGTGTCGCCGACCGGCCGTCATCGTTTGTTCGCGAATACTTAGCGGTGCGTGTGTGCGAGAAGCGCATGCGCGCGCCCCCGTACAATATTATTGTTGTTATGCGTTTATTATAACAAAAAAAAATGAAAAAACCGCGTTTTGGTCCGGGTGACTTTCACCGCCGTTTATATTCAATAAATTCGGCAGAGGTCACGGTTTCTCATTTCACCATTGTTCTTGCGATATTTTCGACTATAACATACATTATTATTATTATTCCTCCTCGCGCGAGCCCAACTACAACCGCTGCTTTCGTGTGTATACCTACGCGCCATGAAGACGTATAGTTTAAATCAATACACATACATTATACTATTATATGCAAAATGTATACAATATAGTAATATTAATACATGCGTACAATTTATATACACGCGAGCGGGTTTTTCATTTTGTTGTTTTTTTGTTCGAATCTACACGCCATTTTGTATTGTCTATACACAGCATTATATTATCAACGAGAGTACGTGTTACCGGCCGATTGTGGCGGTGCAGCGGGGACAACTTTTGCGTTGTTGTTAATTTTATTAATATTATTAATACATAATAAGTGCACTGTACTGTAATTACTGTAATTCACTGCACTGTAGTAATTGTAACTAGCTGGACGTAATTTTACTGTGCCCTGTGTAATGGGTAAGACGAAGATGACACATATCGCCATCTTGCCCGTCACGGTTGCAGTTTTTTAGTTAAAAATGACATACGAAATTCTGGCACATGCATTTTTATTGAGACATTTAGTCTGCATTTTTCGTGATTTTATTTTTATTTTGTTTTAGAGCATTAATACGGTGACGGCAATCGAGTTATTAGACACAATAATAAAAAAATTTTTTATTTCATTTTTTTCTAACAATATAACTATAGTCTTATTCGCTTGTATAATAATATATTATTACTATTTTTTGCTTTCGGGCAATTATAGAAATACACCAATAATCATTCTACTGTGAAACGACGGCGTACGATTTTTTTTTCTCTGTAAACTTGCCGAGTTCAATTCGACAATCGTACATTTTTAACCTTCATCACCTATATCTACAATTGTGTCAAGCTCGTTTTTTTTTTTCTCAAAACGTTCGGTTCGTATTGATCTGCATACAAATATGCTATACGTTCTCACGAATAGACGTCGACAGTTCGTCACACGCATCGTAATATTCGTAGTCACAGTTTCTTTTTTAACAAAAATATATTACGAATAACGATTTCAATAAAAACAATTATTCATATCGAGCATTACTATAGTATAACTGCAGGCGAAAAATAATCATTTGGTTTATTTTTAATATTTAAACTATATAGGTACGTATATAAACGATAAGACGATAACGCGTAAAGTTCAATAGGATTACACAATATGGTTTGACTCTTTCGCTACATGTATGCTGTATATAGGTATGCTATTTTATACGAGTATATGACGCGTTTATAAATCCGTTAAATATCGATAATTATCAATTAGTCGACGAACGAGCAGCGCCGAAAACGTTTATTGATTATATAGAATTGAACAAAAGTGAGCATTAACTACCTATGTAGTTAAACATTTAATGTCAAGCCAATTTTTTTTTAATTTTCCTCTTACTAACTACCTAGTTAATTATTTTCACCGTTAACTAATTAGCTTAAGTGGTTTTATTTTTTACTGTATAAACTTAAAGTTGTATAGTTAATTTCCATATAGACATCCATTTAAGTTAACGAATGGAAGACGAACGATTATTTCGAAATCCAAAATTCAATTTGAATTGTCAGTACTGTGATTTATTTATTAATATTTACTTCGAGTTGATTATATTTGCATTAACTTGTCCTCTTTTGCCGGGATTAAAAATTATTAGTATATTAATCGCAATTAATTATTTCTATACGACATTGTATATGTAACTCTGAGTAAAACGATGTAATATCGTGTAATATTATTATAATATACACGATACTGGTGGACTGTAAAATCAGTACCTAATAAAAAAAAATAAATAGTGTAAAATTGAAGGAACCGATAATTTTAGTTTTAAGCGAACAAACCGTTAAATATATACATCAATATTATGTATTGCAGACGATTTCTCATTTTCGTTTGTAATTTTCTACATTATTTAAAACGTGGTGTCGATTTCAGGTACCAGTATTATAGTAGTATTATAGTCTGTTGTATAATAATTAAGTTTCATTTTCGGCATCTTTTAACATTATTATTAAGGATATATAGGAAAAAAAAATAATTATATTAATGAATTCTTTATTCCGGTGTTTCTGTTACATCTAATGGATAATCAAACATTTTATTTTTTTTAAGGCATGTATAATAGGAAGATTGTATCAATTCCCCGTAACATGGAATACAATATTGTAACACGTATATACTATATACATACATTCAAATTTATTATACGATTATTGTTACACTTAGACACATGCACAAAAAAAAATAAGGCAGGGAGGGGGATTCATAAAAAATGTGCAATAATGCAATGTAGTATGAAATTTATAATTTTTGAAGAATTTTCGGTGAAATGGGGTAGAACCCTATCCGTCCTGTATCGTGATCCTAAGTACACTAAACATTTGCATTATTAATTTTGTTGCGCTTCTAATAATATGTTCGTATATTGATGACTTTCTCCAACCGTTAGTATTAGTGTTTATCGACTGTACATAATTTAGAGGTTATCTGCTTCTGAGGAGCTCCGTAGTTTAATATTATTATTACAATACCCGCGAAAAATATTTTTGTGCTGGTTTTTAATGATTTACGATAGCAAATTGTTGCATTTGTTTATTTGTATATATAGATAATTGAATGTATATTATATAGGTAGGTTAAAAAGAGAAAAAAAATTAAATACTTTAAATTGCATAATCAAAACACATCGCAACTAGTTAAACGTTTCTATATAGCTGTGTGTATATATTGCAGCTGCAATGTAGTGTAATTAATATTAATAATAGGATTGATACATTCTCCTGTGCTCTGCAGACTTATAATAATAGTGAAGAGTTTTATCGTTATAAGCCAGTATCATATATCGGACAATATTGAGGAGTTCTAAATATCAAATACCCATCGGATTTTTAAAACCTATAATTTCGAGAAAAATTTTTTCTGGAATATAAATGAAACATTAAAAATCAGATTTTGAACCGATACATCAATTAATTAATACTGACTCATGGTTTTCGATTTCCAATATTGGATCGGGTGTCGGTTTTAAATAGTTAATAAAAAGTTATATCAGCTCATCATTAATAATAAAGTAGGTAATAATAATAGGTAATTAAGTTACGTTTAGCCCCTGTAAGCATGGTTTTACTCTCGCCTCCTCCTTCCAAAATAGATCCCCTTAAAAAGTAGTAGGTATTTTGGCAAATAGAGGGGGAAGGGTGACCTGTGAGTATATAGGATCAGACGTCAGTAAAATTTAAAAATTATATGATTATAATACAATAATATATAGATGTCGATAATAATAATAATATAAATAACATAAAAAACGTACTGGTCGGGCACAGTAAAAAAAAAAATCTAAGCATTATAATATGTATATTCTTGGCTATATTTACTTTATACAGTATTAATTATGCATGGATTATGATAATTTTGTATTAATTTATCGAATCCTATTCAAATTCAATTAATTATACCCGACCTAACATTAAACCGATTAAAATTGCATTACTATAATATTACATAGGTATATACACTATCATACATATTAACTCACTGTATAAGAATATAGGATGTCCAAGTTCAATGCGTTTTTAATATGATATTCCTATACATTCCCTAATAACTAGCTAAATTATCCGATATTTCCCGGGTTCGATCATTTCAAAAACAGACTACCAAATTAAATTAGAATAACTGTTTTTGCATTCGTGTCGCCAAGGTAAACCCATAAATCAATAAAATTCAAATCATATACAATCAATAAAAAGAAAATTCAGTTTTAAATTTGTTTAGTATCTGTAGTCCGCATTTTATGACGTCAATTAATATACTGTAATAATATTCATTTTTATAAAAAGAATCTAAATATTAGTCGAACGACGATAGTATAAAGTGTAGGTATAGTATTATATTGTATTATTTTTGTATATGCTTATTATAGTCACTTGTCGTTATCGGTGTTAAAGTCAATAGCTATAGGTACTGTACATGTTCTGAGCGTTTTGAATGTATCCTACATAGAATCCGTTGTAATCGAACTCTGCAGCTAACAAAACATTTTAAATAAGTAATGGGAAAATAATGTACATAGTAAAGAATTTATAAAGAATATGTTATAAAATAATACGGTTCATAATTTATTTTGCGTATAAACCGTATAATAGCGTACAAGCAGTATAATATTATTAGAGTTACCGTAGTGGTAATATAATCATTATTTTGAAAAAGAATAAAAAAAAAATAAATGTTTATTGATTTCCGCTTTTAATATGATAATCACAGATACATAAAAACAACTGTAAAATAATTGAAACCGATAAAATGGCCGACATTTCTTATCTACAGGTTTATATAAAATAAAAAATAAAAATATGATAATCCATGGAACCATTATGGGATGGAAACGAATTTATTTACATATATAGGTAGGTAATTGAATTTTAGTTTTGAAAGTAAAATAAAAACTTTGACACTAAGTTGTGTAAGTAAAATAGGTAAATTTAAAAATATTAATAAATAAAATACTGTTATTTTTATTTAATATAACGGTAGCAAAAATGTCTAAACTTCAAAGTAATTACCGATAAATTGAGATGGAGTATATTATTATGTTGTTTTGGTAAACTTAAAAAAAATTACTGTCTCAATAATATTATATAAGTTTACATTTTAGTATAATTAACCAAGTAAATAAGTGCGGTGTTGCTGTATAAATAATTTGTGTTTTATGTTTTATTTTTCTTAAAAAGTAATCTAAGTATATCATTATTCTGTGCTTGTATCCCGGAGAGAGCCCGGAGATAATCTCAAAATTACTTATTTTGAATTGTTATATTACGCTATTCGTCTATTTATACTTAGATATGCCCAATTGTAGGTAATTGAAACGAAAATTGTATACTTTATAAGTTATAACATAACACCGAAAACCATGTTGTTTATAGCAATAATTATTAAATGTTAATAAATATTTAAATACTCTTAAACCACACAAGCAGTTTACAGAAATATATTTTTTTATTTAATATTCATTTAAATATTTAAATAACGTCTTAAACATTTATTATTATTTTATCTGTATAAGCAAATATCAACATATAATATTCAACTATTAGATAACAAAATACAGCCATTTTATCGGTTATTTTGTTATTTTATAGAACTGTGAATATACTATTAGGTATATGAGTACATATTATAATATATATGTATATTATATTATAATTTATAGTTATTTATGTTTATCGTTCTAAAACCTAAATCTATTAACAAATTATACCATTAATATGGATTTAGATGTAGTAGGTGTTATGAAAATGTGTGAATTTGTTATAATCTAATATACGATTATATTATATATTAGTTAGGAAATATTTAGTATATGACGTAACAATATATTATAATAATTTATAATAATTTTTTTTAATATAACACTGAAGCGAATACCTTTATACTATATATTGAATCGTGTTACCCACACGCCCGTTTTTTTAAAATTTTCTTTTTTACACCAATTAATTTTATAGCGAATAAAATCGTATAGTATACGAGTACATTCTTTTTATTACACAGCAACAGTATATTATGTAAATAAATTACAAGAGAGAACTTATAATAATATTATAGTTATTCAAGTTCAAGTGTATATCTACCTATATTTTTAATTTTTTTTTTTTTTTTTTTTTTTTTAATGTTGAATTACTGGTACCTATGAATTTGCAGTTAAACGTATTAAGATATCAAAATGTTAAACCATACATATTTATTATTACGTTTCTAAACCAGAGTTATATTTTTGTCAACTTGTCATTTCACTATTGTTACAATATTGTCTCTTATAAACACTTATATAATAGGTTTATAATATATATATTTATCTTTTTTCAATTACTTTCTGTTAATTTTACTGGCTGCCTTTGGACCAAATTAACTTAAATTCGGGAACTAGGGTTGTTTTTCAATCACGATCAAATTTCAGCATGAATTTCACCATATTATTTTTTGGTGTTATTTTTTTTCAGGATGTTATTTTTTAGCTTTAAACAAATCTTTACAGAAGATCGGAGCAAGATTTCTGGTAGAAAAGTTGCAAAAAGATAAAAAAAAAAAAGAATAATAAACATCTATGTAAAACCATTAGAACTCCGCTCAGAATCTAAAATTCGTTCTAGTCGTATTTTTTTTGTTTTTTTTATAAATCTCTTATAGATAGAAGTATAATACTTTAAAAGGGACGTTATGGGACACGAGTCGGTAGTGGAGGGTAGGTTAGATACACCGTAAACTGTTTATATTTAAACCAAATTTAGTTTTTTCTTCTTATATAATATAGATATCTGTAATTAAAACAAAAACTAAAATTCG